TATAGAGTAACAGCAATATTGTTTTAAAAACAACTTTAAACAAATAAGTCATTTTGACTATTATAAAAACTCAAATTAATTACAAAGGATATACAAAGGAAGATGTTATCTGCATCCAGAGAAAAAATTGATTAAAAAAAAGTATATATAGAATGATTTTACATGTGTATGTGTGTATATATGTGTACATATACATATTTGTGTCTAATGGTAGCCATCTCTAGGGAGGGTGGAGAAAAGAAAGGAAAAAAATTTACATAACTTTATTATATATTTAAAAGGAATAGCAAGTTGTACATAATAGATTTGCAATTTCATGTGCAATCATCTTTTTTAAATTATACTATGTTATGGAAATGTTTGTTTTATTCCATAAATTTGAAATAAAATAAAATACATTTTTTAAAAAATTTTAAACAGCTAAACCATAAGGATGCTATTAACATGAGTGGATAAAATCCTTTCTGCACACAAATATTCCTAGTAGCATTTTTAATAATAGCAACAAAAGAGAAATTACCCATTTGTCAAATGACTAGGGTTATATTTGTATTGTGAATATATGTGTGTGTATTTGTGTGTGTATATATGTATACATATATATTTCTACCCAATATATGTATCCCCAGTGTGTGTGTATATAGAATATACATGTACACATATATATGTATATGTGTGTACATATGAATATACAAATATATGCTGTGGCATATAAATGTAATGGAATATTTTAAAATATTCTAAAGTATAAAAAGAACACTAACTTTGAAGTCAGAAGACCAGAATTCAAATTCCACCTCTGATGCTCACTGCTTATGTTACAAATCACAACCTTCTTGGTCCTCAGTTTCCTCACCTGTAAAATGAGATGGTTCAACAAGGTGGCACTTGAGGTCCATTTCAGTTCTATATCTGTAATCCTACAACATTGTAATGGCACTAAATAAATAAATGATTATTATATGTTATTAATGACATATAATAATATAATAAGAAATAGAAAGAATACTGAGAAATACTGGAAAGCATTTGTTAAGTGATAAAGAGTTGAGAAAACAAAACACAAACAAAAATATATACATTGGCAGCAACAACCTTAATGAGAAGAAAAACACTACAAGTAATCAACATCTGTGTGACATGAGCTTTACTATACACTTTTGGAACTCTAAGAAAGGTTATAACAATTGCAAAATATCTTAACAAAAACTCCTTCAATATTTACAAAACACACCCTAAGGCTGCTACAGAAAGAAGATTACTTTCTCACCAAAAAGAAGGAAGAAGACTAATAGTCTCCCAGAACATGATAAACAATAAACAATACACAAACTCACAGAAATACTTTAGGGACAAGGAGACATCACTTCACTGAGAAATAACAAAGGTGGGTAGCAGGTATACACAACTGGATTTGTGAACGGTGACTAAGAAGAGTTTAGCTAAGATATAGCTCAGACCTAAGCATGGTCCTCTGTGGACAACATCCACATGAATTAGAGCAACAATATGTCAAAATACAAGCTTTGAGCAAGTAGCTGAGCCGCACAAATATGTTTAAAGAAAGAGAGGGGTTTCATAAGATCACCCTTGCTTTGAATTTTCTACCTCCTGATCCCCAAACTTGTATTTGCATAAAGGTAGTCATGACTAGTAGCTATATCTGGAGGTACCAACAGAAGCAATTGAAGAATCAAAATGGAAACAGAGAGGGAGAGAGAGAGAGAGAGAGAGAGAGAGAGAGAGAGAGAGAGAGTACCCTAGGATACTGGAGCTTGAAAGTACTATAAAGTCAACTAGTCCAACTCGCTCATTTTTTTTCAGGTGAGGAAACTGAGATCCAGAGAGGTTAAGGAACTTGTCCAAGGTCACATAGTGAGTACCCTAGTGGCTGAACCAAGACAAACCTAAATCACCACAAATCCCTGTTCAAGAAAAATCCTTCTAAGTTTTAGTTTTTTCTAAAAACAGGAGGAAATATTCATCAGATATAAACCTATCAAATTTATGTGGATCTAACTGAGACATTTTTATTCTTATAAAACAATCCCTTTTCAGAAAAAGCCTTCTAAGTTCTGGTTGTCTACATGAAAAGGGGGAAACACTCAACAGACATGAACCTTTTTTCATTTATGCGGGTCCAGCTGAGACATTTTTACTATTCCAGCAAAATTCTAGCAACATGTGGCTGCTTGAGAGGTGGTGATATAGAGTGAACTTGCAAAGTCTACACACTGACTAGGAAGAAGGCAGTTTCTACAAATCTATCACCTAGCCCGGGTGGGAATAGTCAAGCAGAGGTGCCGAAAGAGAGAGAAATCAAACTGGACGCCCTGTCTTCCTTATAATGAGTAGTGATGAATTTGGACCCTTGAATAACAAGGTGTACTGTTCTAACTCAAGCAAAATGACATGAAAGCAAAGCAAGAAATAGTTGGAACATTTGAAAATGTTCAGCAACAAAAGAAAAAGGCTGAGAGTTTTGTTTTCATTTCATTATTATCCTCTTCTGTCTCTTACACAAAGGATAAATGACAGCAGACCACATTTTGCCTTCCCATTATGTTTTGTGGGAGGACACAGTAACTACAGTCACAGTCCAACTGTGTTATCATATCCATTTTGTATTTGGTTCGTGATCATTAATGCGCAATAAAATTATTTGACAAAGAGTAATCTAGAAAAACAAATTAAGTTGAGCTGATCTGAGGACAGAGTCTGATACTGCACACACATATTGCTATTTGTCTTACATGTGTCATCACACATACAAGAGTATTCATATGATCATTATTAGAGTGAAGAATAATGGTAGCACTTAGCCACGAAATATGTGGATTCCAGTAAGGTGAGGAAGGACATATTAAGATTTGGATGTATTTAATCATGATGATAATTATGATCTGATTGGCTCTTAGAAATATCTTCTCATAATATATAAAACAGAAGACAGAAAAGGTGGGTTTTTTAAGTCACTGAGGAGCCTTCTTTCCACACCAGAATGCTTATTGCCATCTGTTTCTAAAGCTCATTACATTTTCTTCTCCTTCTTTATCTTTCATTCCTACATGCTTCTTTCACATACACATCAATCATATTCTTTTTGTCCCCTTCTTTTTTTTTCTTCTTTCCCTAGCTATGAAGGAGACTGAAGGGAAAGGGTGGGAATGCCCTCAACTTATCATAGAAACACTCGCTAATATATAATTCAGGACTAGGAAGGACAAAGAGCAAAAATTGCCATGGTCGTCAGTGTCATCCTTCTCTCACAAAGAAAAGGAAAGGAAACTGGAATGGTAATTACTAGAATTGTATCATTCCTTTAGGGATGACCTTTTGTGTAAGCAGTAAACAAATACCATCTCATTTGGCAGAAGTAAACTGAAATAATCCCACTACAGATATTTAACAGAATATCATTTTTGTTGATGTTAGGAAATGATACTACTTGGATGCTTAATAAAAGTGGGATCATTGATAAAAGTAAACATTGAATCATTCCACAAGAGTGCTGTCCACACACAGTGGAGTTTATGACCTAATTTGTGTGACAACCTGTTCGCATGCTTAGATGAAAATATCTCTTCTGGGAGATAGCAATATCTAATAATATTAGATAGCAGTATCTAATAATAACTAATAAAACAGACATACACATGCACACATATGTACACGTATACATACGCTTAGACACAAATGCACACACACATATACATACTTACATACCCATGCACACACACACACACACACACACACACACACACTTTTGGACTAAATCTTTCATTTCATTGGCACAGAGAACTCCTAGTGAGGAAACTCTTTATCAATGCAGATTGGGACATGATCTGCAAATTATGATCTAAGGCAAGAATTCATATCTTTGGGTCCATGATTTTTTAATCTATTTTCTCTTTTTAATATATTTTAATAACTATTTCAATATAATTGGTTTCCTTGGTAATCCTGTATTTTTATTTTATGCATTTAAAAACATTATTCTGAGAAAGGGCCTATAGGCTTTACCTGTCTATTAAATGGATATATTACTCAAAAAAAAGTTTAGAATTCAGGTCTTAGAGAGTTCCCTGGGGGAATGGGGTAGCACTGAATGCACTAGCCCAAGGTCACATAGCCAGTGTGTGTCAGAGGAAAGATTTGAACCCAGGTCTTTCTGGTTTGAGGCTAGCTCTCTGTCTACTATGGAGAAAGAGGGAATGAAGGGAGAGACAGAAGGAAGGAGGGAAGGAAGAAAGGAAGGAAGGGAAGAATGGAGGAGGGAGAGAAAAGGAAGGAAGGAAATATTTAAGGGAATGGAGAAAAAGAAAAGAAGAAAGGAGAAAAGAAAAGAGAGACAGATTTTGCTTTGTCTTCTCAAGATTCTGCCTGTTATTTCTTATTTAGACTTTCTTGAAATGAAAATGTATTGCTATATAGTTTGAATCCTCTCTTACATTCTGTTGTGCACAAGGCAATGTTTCTTTTTTCTTTTCTTATTTTGTATTTAAGTTTATAATATTTTTCTTTTTCTTTCATTATTGTATATTTAAGTTTTAGTATTTAAGTTTAAAATAAATTAATAAAAAATAAGATCCTGCCCTTCCTTCAAAAAAGGATCATAAAGGACTATAATGTAATGACTCCCATACTTCTGATAGCTGGGTCCCAAGAACTTTTTAAAAATATTAACTAAATCCTAAAGGGTTTTCAGTCTTCTTTGGTCAAGGACCCACACAGGCCATATTCCAGATCCTTAAAGTACTTCCAGTAATGGGACTTCTATGTCTAAAAGTATAGCTAGCTTTACATTATTTTTCTACGAAAGAATGGGAACTCCTTGAGGATAGGAACTACCCTCATTTTGACTCAACAACTAGCATAACTGGTTTGTTGAATGAAGTAGAAAGTAATACATTGCTTTGAAAGATAATTGGGTTTGCCATGTATTTTTACATTGAAATGTTGTGCACCTGTTATCTTATTTTTTTCCCTTTTCTCTTCAGGGAGGAGATAATTTGGACAGAAACCCTACAAAGGCAGAGAGTGCTTGGCTTTTCCGAATCTGGTATGGTTTTGACCACAAGTATCCTTTGATTATTGTAACCTCATAAAGATCTATATAACATAAGACAACTGGGCATCATAATCACTCAAGCATGCAGCTGTTTTTTTTTTTATTTTAAACAATACCAAAAAAGCAAAAATAAACCAAAGCCATGGTTATCTGAGGAAAGAAGGAAAATTAGTTTTAAGAAAGTATTGACCGAGTGAAGAAAATGCCATAGCTGTTACTAAATGAGCCAGAGATTAAGGCAAAATCACCTATAGAATCTCTGCCTCAGTCAAAGTTTCACTGGTATATTTAAGGCACCTTAATCTTTTCTGAAGCCAGAGAATGAAATAGGATAGACCTGAAGAATTGATCGATGGGGATTGGGTTGTTTTCACCTTTGTGAAGGAACATGCTCTTGTATGTGTTTCTAAACAGCACCTACTTAATTTGGAAGCTCGTAAATCAGTATTAGAGCCCTTTCCTTAGGGAAGCATATATGCACCCAAGACAAACCTCTACCTTATCAAGAGGTCTAAGTTGTGTACTCTTGTTTTGTGGTCTGAAAAAAAAGAGGACTAAGAACTTGTATAATTCATTAAATGTTAGATCAGGACAGTGATCTTGTTTCAATACAGAATTTGGTAATGATTATCAGTCCTTTGAAAGTCTTTTTTTCTTTTAAATGTGATTTTTCTTTATCCTGGCAACAAGCATAGCTATATTAACTCTAATGCATCTTTTCATAAAATTTGAAGAACTAAGATGTTGGGGCCGAAATGTTTCACCATTGTAAGTTTCAGAAAGCTTTCCATTTTCAAGCATTGTTTAAAAAAAACAACATTCCAGTAGAAATGAATGAAATGTGCTTTTAAAAAATGAATACCGTGGGTCACTGGATGAAAAAGTCTGTCATGGGATGTTTTTAAGGAATAACCAATAATTAAGTATATTATAACTCGGTAGAAAGGGAAGAACAACCAAGAACAGCAAATGGGACATTCAAAGAATAGGTGAAGGGGTATGGAGAATGTAAAGGGTACAAAAGGTAAGTGAAATATGGGAAGAAAACAGTAGGGAGGAAAAGAAGACAAATGAGAGAAAGTGCCATAATGAATAAAAATTTGGAAACCAAGGAAGATAAAGATGGAGAAAAGCCAAAGAATAGGTTTGAAAGAAACAAGAGCACAAGAGAATGAAAATGGGAACAAGAAGAGACATTCCAGGAATCACCAAATGGACTTATGGAAGATTGAGAGCATGTAAGTTTTTTTTTCCTTGATTACAAGTTATCTGTTAACTATAGTCAGTTTTTTCCTACATTAAGGCACCTACTTTGTATGTATGTGTATGTAGATATAGATATATGCAGTTTGTAAATCTCTGTATGTATATTATGTATGTATATATATGTATATGTGTGTATATGTATGTATATGTATAAGTGTGTATGTATGTGTATATAGATATAGATATAGATATAGATATAGATATAGATATAGATATATGTAACAACTGGGGAAAATGGGGAGGGAGCCTTCATGGAAGAAGAGGCACCTGATCTGAGTATTGAAGCAAAATAAAACTTCTAGGAGGCAGAAATGGGTGGGGGAAGGTAGATTTCAGTCATGAGGAACAATTTATACAAATAAACCAAGGTCGGAGATGAAATGCCAGGTTTGGAGAATATTCCAGTTTGACTGAAACCTAGAACTCCTAAAGAGAATTCAAGTGAAATAAATAATGCCAGAAGGATGGTTTTAAGAGGGTCTTAGATATCAAGATAAAGAGCATATTTATAGAAGCAATGGGGAGTCATTAATGGTTTTTGAGTAGGGAAGTATCGGTCAGAGCTTTGTTTTAGAAAGAGTATTTTGGCAGCAGTGTAGAAAATTACTTGGGCTGGGGGTGGAGGGGCAGGGAAAGCCTAAAAGCAGAGAGATCAATTTGAAGGTTGTAATGGTGGCCCACAAAGGAGGTAATAAAGACCTGGAAGAGGTAGTGGCTTTGTGAGTAGAAAGAAGGTAGATGGTGAGAGGTGGTGTGGAAGGATAATCAACAAGATTTGATATCTGATTGGATATTGGGGTGGGAGCAATGGAGAAAGAAGAGTCAAGGATGACCCAAAGGTCACAGTTCTGGTGACTGGGATGCCAGGAGACTTTTAGAAACAGCTAAGTTTTCTGTGGCCCTCAACTCTTAGATGGAATTTCATTCAGCCCTGTTGTATGTTCTGGATTCTCTGAGGATTAATGATTTCATAGACTGTCACCAATTTTACTGAATTTCATCCTTACTAGGGAATTGTGCCCTAGGCTTGTATGAAAGCATCTGGAAGCAAAGTTGTTCCAAATTAAAAGTATTTGATTGGGAAGCCATCTCAAGCCCGGTATGTTGTAAAACATGTTGAACTTAATGTCAGATTACGACCAGGGTTCTACTACAATCTCTGATACTTATTAGTTGAATGACCTTGGGAAAGTCACCTAAACTCCCTGAGGCCCAGTTTCTTAACCTATAAAATGTCTATGAAAATATCTAAAGGACCTAAGCCTCAAGGTGAGGATCAGATGAGATATGTATATAAGGCAATTCCTAAAACTCAATTGCTATCTATCCACTATTACTATTCTTAAGAGGACAGCAAAGTGTAAATAAAATGATGGCCATAAACAAAAAATACCTGTGCTAACTTAGATGTTGCTATGAGGGACAATGTACACTTGGGGAAAAGGCATGGTATGGCACTACAGACCCTAAACAATCAAATCTGAAGGAATATTTATCACTATAGCCATGTTAGCCCTAGACCATCTTTTCTTAAAGGGACTTATAGCAACTCATTTTCTGCTGATGTAGATATCACATGGAAAACTCACGCCCACATTTTTCAGAAAGAAAAGGCAGCTGTTAGAGGTGGTTTGAACATTAGTACGCTCTTACTTCAGATTTTATGTTGGGATGAAATGAGGCACTTCCAATTCACTGAAAAAGTTAACAAAAGGGAGGCTTACTTAGCTCTAACATAATAAAGATGTACAACGAGAAAACAGTGGCACTTATCTTCCCTCTTCTCCAAATGGTCATCAGGGCAGGATATAGTCAAGAATATCATGATTCAGATGATCTTCAGAAAACCATCAAGTTGTAGGGGCGCTGACTGTACCGACATTTTATGCCCATGGGTGACCAGGAATCTGTGTCAAGGAAAAAGGAACCAATCAGGTCCCAGGATGCTTTGTCTTCTTTTAGGGAAAACTAATCTTTGTTGCAGGAAGAAAGGAAAAGGGGGTAGGCCTAACATGTTATGGGGAAACTGTAATAGATATTAGTCCTATCACAGCAACACAGAGAGAAACGAAGCCATTTGCCACAGGCCAGAGAGAAGTGCAAATTTCCGATTCTGAGCAGTAACGCTAAATTCAGATGACTTCATTGATTTTGTCTTACCTTTCCCAAAAGATTTAATTTGCACATGACTTTTGACAGACTCACAAAATTAAAGCAGAATTACATCCTACATAGTAATATCTCTCCCTTCCAATCTGGGGGTGATTTTTCCTTCAGTCCAGTCATTTCCAGAAATTGCAGCACTGCCATTTTTGTGCAGATGTAGATTCATTTAAATATGGTTTTTGCATCGTATGCTTAAAATGTATGTCTGGAGAATAACTACCCAACCAATTTTCTGTTCTGTGGGCTCTGTTTGTAGCCACAAAGTGATCCTCTGCTATGTGCCATTAAAGAAGCCTCCTTTCTTTGAAAGACAGATGGTCCACTTGGACTTCCCTTTCTTCTGCTGCCCTTCTACAGTACATTGTGGGCCTTTGTTGATAAATTTGTAGATTTATTTATATTTTATTAAACCATAATTTTTATATGCTACAAATTATACCAATCCAACAGGCATTTATTAAGCATTTACCGGGGGCAAGGCACCATGCTAGGTACTAGGGACCCAAAGACAAAACATAAATCAGTCTCTTTTCTCAAGAAGTTTACATTCTAGTAAGCTCTAGTAAGTTTTGACAGCAGAAAATGTTTCATTTTAATTTTAATGGCCCTAACATCTAGCATAATTCCTGGTACACAGTAGGTTTTTAATAAATGTTTGTTGAATTGAAATGAGTCCTTGTGGGGACAGACACAAAATATAAATACATATGTGTATATGTTTGTGTATGTGTGTGTATCTATAGGCATATACATATATATGTGCATATGACAATTTAAGGAGAAAAAAAGCAATACCAACTAAGAAATTAAGCTTAGAAGGAAGTTAGGAATTCTAACCTTCTACCTTATATCCACGCCCCAGAAAAAAAACTGCCTACAGTCAAACACCTAAAATTGGATTTTACCGTTGATAATTATATCTCTTAAAGCAATAATGCACAACTATATGTTCTTCTTTAAGAGATATTTATTTCTCTTTAGTTTCACAAAATCATTATTATAGCAATCTATCACAATTATGTCATGAGCTTACATAGTTTTTTTTTTTCTCAATCACTAAATCTTTTTCATTTGTCCTCACAGTTTTCTCAGAGAAAATAGGAACAGGACTACATGTTCCCATTTTTCAGCTTGGAAAAGTGAGATAGAATGAAATGATCTGCTTAGGATGACAGAGCATCTTTGCCGGGACTGGAAATCAGGCCACATTATACATAAACAAGTGATCAGCCTGCTAGATTCCCAAAAGGTTTTCTCCCTTTCAGTCATTCCAAATTATTTCTCTTATTTAAACATTTGTGTATATTAGTAGCACAAGATAAGAATGACCTTTTCAAAAAGAGAAAGTCTAATTTAGTTCCTCAAACAACTCATTGATTCATTCAGAAGTCAACAAAGAGATACAGCATTTATCTTTCTGCAACCAATGGGTAAAGAAAGTTTCAAGTTAACCATGGATTGGCAAGTTAACAAACTACCAAGATCAAACAAATGTCACTTCATGGATGGAGACATACATTCATCTTTCCATCACTTGGTTGGAATAGAGCCACAAGGGTTTTATTTGATGCTTCTGA